TGTCCCAAATCCAGCCCTGAAAATAGGCTCTGGGAGCCCCGTGGCCCCTCCTCGGGCACTGAGGAGGCAGCGAATGCCCGGCACTCAGCGCAGCCAGGCAGGGGACAGTCAGACACACATCTCGACACAGTGGCACTCAAAGAGATCAAAATGCATTTAATGTGATCTAGTCTCGTGGCCTACATCTTTAGATACCGCTATGTATTGAAAATAACATGAAAATTCTCCTGTTTCACCATTTAAAATAGATTTGACATTCTATTGACCTCACGCAGGGCAGACACCCCGTACAGGGGCCTCCTGACGGTGGCTCCTTCCCGCCCGCCGCCCCAGAACCCTTGGTTGGGCGGGGACCGGGCGGCACAGCACCAGCAGGGTTGGGGGGGTGGCTGCCTGTGTTCTGAGCAGCGACCACACAGGCTGCACAAAGATTCACCACCCCACTGACACAAACACACAGCTCCAGGACCCACACACACACTCCTCCGGGACCCACACACTCACACACACACACACACACACACACACACACACGCATGGACATGTATTCGCATGGACACACACACCCACGGCCTCCAACACGCAATCCAGACACAGATGCTCTCCTGCAATGCCCCACGGTGGCACACACGCCCGTCCGTCCACAGACTGCATCAGAGAGCCGGGAACCATCAGGTCGGATTGTACCAACAATCTGAGGTCAGGGTCCAATCTGACCAGTGGGCACCCAGCCTCAGCACGATACCAGCCCCGCACGGAAAGCACGCACACCAACCGGTGGGTAGACACACGCACGCACTAACAGATCCATGTTGTCACTCCAAAGACACATGTGGAGACAGTCATGTACACACACACATACACACACACACACACACACACACCTCCTTTCCCCACACACTCCCCGGGAGGCCAGTCTCCCGGACCCCACATAAGGCTCCCCACATCCTGCCTCCCGCATCCAGGGCACTAAAGAGGGGACTATTTTGGTCTTTAGCACAAGCAATAAATAAATAAATAAATAAATAAATAAATAAATACAGGGACGGGGAAGAGGGCAGAAGCATCTGAAAACGCGGATCTGCCTTGCCTTTGGTGAGAGATGAAAGACAGCACTGGGCTGCTCTCCCGCAGGGGCTGGAGGCTGACCATTCAGGCCCAGTGTGGTGGACCTGGGAGGATGGGCCTAAGAGGCAGACCACGCCTCAGGGAGGGCTGGAGAGCAGACCCTGGTGGGACGCAGAGACCTTGGGTTCCAGTCTGGAGGCGAGGCAGGGAGTAGGAGGCCACACACACCCCCGCCCCCGTTCCTGGCCCGGAAGGACAAAGCAGGGCACAGACTCTAGGCAGGCACCCAGTGCCCAGGGGCCACCCTTGTCCCTCTCGTCTCTCAGCCTGGCAATCGGAGCAGGAGTGGTGAGAACCAAGCACTCTCATGCCAACTCCACCCTCAAGAGTCCCCCAAAGCCAAGGCTTAGAAAAGCCAGGCTTTGGAGACAGGGGCCAAGCCCAGGAGTCCAGAAGGAGCCGAGGTGGCTCCAGCAGATCCTGAGAGAAAAAAAAGAAAACAGTCTGGGGCTGAAGCTTCCAGGCCAGAAGTTAGGGTAAGGTCAGAGGCTGGGGTGGAGAGCCTGGAGTCAGGCTTACCTCCGGGTGGTGGGGGGGCGCTGGGTGTCTCTGCCTCCTGCCCCAGGCACC